AGCTCGTGGCTCTAAAAACCACTACCTGATGCTTTTTAAAAATCTGTCAATTTCCATTTAAAATTGAACTAAACTCATCCTCACTGGATCTCTGGGTGCCTTATTCATAGGCACATTCCCTTCTGGTAGCTGCCCCTCCTGTCCTATGTGCACCCTAGGAGACCTCTGTGGAACTGAGTGAAACATGGGCATTCCAGCTTTCTGGCCCATCACCAAGGAGGGAGCAGAATGGCTGAGGAGGATGTGAGGGGCTGCATTCCTGATACTTAATAACAGGAGATGCACTGCACCGTATATTTAATGCAGATGTGCCCAGGAAATAGGCAGGTGGTAATTTTCTGGTGATATGTCCAGTCAAATATCCTTTTTCTTACGACATCACATTCAACCACATGATACCATGGCTATTCCCTGACCCACCAGTGTTTCCAACTCCTGACTAACCCAAACCAAGTACTTCCTAACGGATCATTAACTCCTTTCCAGAAAATGCCATCTGCCTCAATTTTGGCATTTATATTCTTCCTTGTGTATCTGAGATGGATCTTTTAAGTCTATCATTAATAATTTATGCTACCTTTTCCCAAGAAATATTTCCTCACAGAACTAAACAAACCTTTAAAAGCCAAAAAAAAAAAAAAAATCATCAGATCAAACACAGTTATTATTTTAAGTCTATTGGCCATCTTCAAAAACCGAGTGCTCAGGCCCCATAGAAATCAGTCTTGAAGATTGCCAGAGGGCTGAAAAAGTTTACATCCAGAGCCATAGATGGGAGCAACTTTAGATAACTTCAGATCTTAACTTGTCTAAATATTCCCCATTGTAAATGACTCATATGATTCCTGGAGTGGTGAGAACATCCTAAACTAGACATGATGCACAGTTGTCTCAAATAGATATTTACACTACTTTATAGACCCTTGGTTCACCAAAATGTATTAATGAATTTAAAATTTGGTGTAGACCTGACCAGTAGGATTTATGATTTCTGTATAGTTCAAACTTTGCTGTCTTGAACTCTCTGTCCTAACTGACCACATGCAGCCAGAATCTCTAATGATATTGTTTTAAGTGAGGTTCATCTCTGTATCCCCCACCCAATCTCACCAAACATCTCCTCTGAACCATTGAGGGCCCCTGGGACATGCACTCACCATGAATCCAGAAGAACCTCTTATTGGCCCAGTCCTCCCTGTCCTGCAGGAGCTGAAATAGCCACAGCCTTCCCTTACCATCTCCCTCTTAGAATTAGAGTCAGAGACCTGGACTGCATCCTGGGAAAGTCACTTTTACTTTCTGTGGGGTGTCAGGCATGAGACTTAAGGAGACTCAGGTACGGAGAGGTCCTTTGAAAAGCTGCAGATAGTAGGAACACACATTTTTTTGAGGATTAGGTGAGACTGTAAGGGGCACAAAACACTTTATTTCTGCCACACACTGAGGCAAAAGATGTCACTTGACTCCTGCCATTTTAAAATGCCTATAATGTGCAAGCCCTTTGCTAGGCCCTTACCTGCGTCGTCTCTTTAAATCAATTCTTGGGCTAACCTCATGAATTATGTGCTAGCTCCAGCTCCTCAAAAGACTCTGTTTTGTGAGTTGTAAAATGCAAAACTGATCCCTTGTCCAAAACAAGTTATTTAGTGCCAGATATCAGAGTCTTAATCTCATTTGGTAAATTTGCTGGTGTCATAGAACCCAACAGAGATCGTTTTGGTTAGGGATCTTTTTGGCCTTCTTCAAATCATGTCATAAGAGTAATCATCACTGCTTCTACAGAGGGCACAACCTGCTCTCAGTCTTACAATATTTTCAATCATATTTTGAATAATCGAGGATACCATAAATTTTGCATCTCTTCTCCCTGTAGTACTATCCTTCCCCAAGCTCCTGCCCCCAGAATTTTCAAATGCGGAAAATATTTCTGGAAAATAAATTTTCCCTGTTCACCATCCATCCTTGTGCTCCTTCAGGGCCTCTGGTGCTTCTGCAGACACAGGCTGGCAGGGGCAGATCCTCCAATGCGGATACTGGGTCACCGAGTTGGTGTCTTCCCATTCATCAATTCCAACTGCATTCAAACATTTTCAATATGCGAGCTCCTTGATAACTTCCACTGTATGGAAAACAAAATGGAGGAAATGATTATTGGCATGAAAGGGGGAGGCCATAAATCTTCAAATCAGATACAGGACAGATTGGAACAATATGGGTTCTTCAAGGTTGCCATGATAATGTACCTAATAACTCTCCCTGGGCAAAAAAAAAAAAAAAAAGGCAATCTGCTTTCAATCAATCTCACTTTTTTTTCCTGAGCAAAAATACCAATTATGTTGAAGGAAGATTTTTTTTTTCCTTTTTGATAAGGACTCTTCTCTACCCCAGAAATCATGCTGTAGCTAAAAGATATATATTTTCAATTGTCTAGAATGGTATTGGACAGCTAGCACCAAATGAAAAAAAAGTCAATCTCTTTTTTTCTCCTCTCTCTTGCCAGCATTTGTCTACTTCTTAAGAGAAGTGAAAGCTAATTAAGGGCTTAAGGGATAATATTGATTGCATTGGAATATATTTTATAAGTACCCGGCACATTTTCAAGTAAGAGAACCCTGACTTTTTCTAAGACTGAATAAATCAGCCAGCTGAGCCTTTGATTGGAAGGTGAGGGGGCAGCTCATCTCCTCCTCTGCCACTTCACACACGTCTCTCCTAGGCATGGATCATTTCTGAAGAGGAAGAAGCATTTCTGACAGATGTTCATTCACTTCTTTGTGTACAGGATAGGAAGGATGAATGTCTGGGCATTTCCTCAGACCTATCATTGATTTGAGTCTGGCTTTGAATAATAACCAGACATATGCTTGTATGAAACTTTTAACTTCACAGTGCCTGGTGCAGGAGGCTGATGGGGTGGTGTTAACCTCTCATCTTCCTCACACACTGAACAGGAATAAGGAATTTACCCTGGATGCCGTGCATCCTTGGTAGCAGGGCAGGGATTCCTGTCTGGCTTGCTTTCTCATAGAAATGGCAGCCTCAGCTATGGGGATGGATACCGATAGTCAGATTTATGGTGGCCTTGTACTTAATCTTGGACATCTGCAGGCAGAAAGCGTTAGCATGGCACCAAGAAAACCTATTACCATTTGTGCAGAGGTGAGTAAAGAGGGGAATCCTGTTTCTCAGTCACTTTCTCAGCATACCTAGTAAATTCACAATTGGAAATCTTATTCAGAACATGCACATTCAGGGGTAGCCTGTTTTGTCATAGTCAAGAAACACTGTAAGATATGACATAATAAAAATGTATATAATCTAAGTCTTTATGTTATATCTTCTTATATATGTTATATTTCACAGCCTTATAGTAAGGAGGGGGTCAGGGATGGAATTTGGATGAGTTGTCAAGGGATCTCCCCTAATCTAGCAGGTACCGGCTAGAGGGCAAAGTGATCTTGTTAAGTTGTTTCTTCTGAAGGAGCTCAATGACACTCTTCCCTCCCCCTTGATGGCCACTGCTCACCTGATCGCTAAGTGCACCACCGTAACAATAACAGTCCATAATGGTGATATTATTAACTGTGTCGTGCATATTATTGATTTACTCTTTGTTCTGCATCATTATCCATTCACCAATGAGTTTACTGCATTATTCTCACATACTTAGTCAAGCACCAAATTACCACAAAAGGGCAGGCTCTTGTAATGGCAGCTAATGGAACATCACATAAGCCATCATCGCTGCCTCCCATTATGAGCTGCCTCCAGCCAATGAGCATGCTGCCTTATTGCAATGTGCACAGAGCAATTATGAAGTGCAAAGGACCTGACCATTCTAAATCTTACCCAGGAAATTGCCTCGCTATGTGTTTACCACCTGCCCTCTTCGGAAAGCACAGCTAGAGATCCTGCCCCCGTCACTGTCAGCTTGAGGGGCACAGGGACAGGATGAGTGGACCCCCTTGCAACTGCACATTCAGGCCCTGGCTTTTGGCCTTAGGGCTAACTCTAGCATCAAAGTGCTTATTCTGGCTTGGGCATCGAATGACAAAAACAAGTGGGCATGGGAAAGCCTGGTGCCAAGGTCAGATTGGTCCAGGAGCCCAAGAGATATTGCAGGAACTGTTGTCACTACAGCTCTGGAGAGGGTGTCATCTCTTCAGAAAGAGCCACTATTTCTGGAAACAGAAGTCCAAACCACCCTAGGATAAGGCAAGCATTCCAGCCTCATTCCTTCCTGGCTTTCCCCTATCTTACGGTCAAATTCCTTTGGCTCACTTGGAAGTCCCAAGCACCCCGAGGAGGTGGTCCTCTGGGACAGGCAGCCAGCGGGTGATCAGCGATTCCTTAAGCATCCCATCCCCATTTAGCCCTGAGTAATGCTCACTTACTGTAAAGTGTTACATGCCCCCATTGTCGGAGAAGTTATGGTGGAAAAATGCAAAATTTCCTTTTTACTGCTTATGGCCAGCCGAGCCTATAACGTGTCAAGCCGCACATTAGCCACCCTGATAAAAGTCCGCTTTCTTACACACAAAATCATCGTTTCAGCAAGATTTGTTATCTCATTACCTGATAAGCTCTATGTCATAAACCAAGACTCATACGGTAAATCTCCCGGGAGGACGCTTTGTGGGCAGAAAGCGAGAGATATGAATCTGCAAGGGACTTGATAATGCAGCATTTAAGCGCAAGCATAATGTCACTTATTGTTAAATGCATAAAACCACTTGGCCAAACGGTTAGGCTTTTAATAGGATTTTGTGCGGCATCAGGTGAGAAGCCCATATGCCTTTTCTGTCTCGAAGTCTCTGAGCACCTGCTAGTACTGCTGCTTTGCCACACAGCCCTTGGGGGCCGGGTGCTGGGCTTTACGAGGTGGAGGGAGGAGGTGAACCTTCCCCACAGCTGCTACGCTTGCTCTGCCTTGCCAGGGCGTGGGGGGGAGGGGTCATCGTCCCAGGCCTGGCCTGATCTAACTAGCCTCTCCTGTTCAGGCACATTGTGGTCTGTGGACACATCACTCTGGAAAGTGTTTCCAACTTCCTGAAGGACTTTTTGCACAAGGATCGGGATGATGTCAACGTGGAGATCGTCTTTCTTCACAAGTAAGAGCCTGCTGCTGTCCCCAGACCCTCCAACCACTGTGTGCTCCTCCCTGAGTGCCTGAGGTGGGGATGGGGACAGTTGGTGATCAGGCAGAATTCACTAAGTCATGATGACCCTGCAGGCCTCCTCGCAGAGCACTATAGTCAATGGAGAAGGAAGCAGCAGTCTTGGCCAATGAGAGTAGGGCCTGCCTAGGAGACACTATTCAGTGAGAACCTATTATGTGCCAGCAACTGTGCTAAGTCAACATTTGCCTAACATTTAAATACTAGAGAGTGGGTATTGTTCAGCTCTGCAGAATTAAATGAATAAATAGGCCAATCACTTTTTAAATCATTGTCCTTCAATGGGAAAGGTACCTTTATGGCTCAGCACTCAGAAGTGTGATATGTAGGGTATGTGAATCAAGAATAGTCCTGGGGGTAAATCAAGTCTGTCTGTGGCTGCTCAGAGGTGACACTTTTTTGATCTGGGTTTTGGGGTATTAGAAATCCATGAGGCAGAGAAGCAGAGGAAGGGCTCCAGTGCAGGGTGACTTGGCTAAGTGAAGCGGTGGCTAATCTCTCACTCTGTTAGTTAGGGTTCTCCAGAGATTCAGTAGACAGAGATGGAGATAGAGTTCTCTATATCTACCTATAACTCTATCTACCTATAACTACACACACACGTGTCTGTTTATATAGAGAGAGATTTATGAGATATATTAGCTCCCTTGATTGTGGAGGCTGAGAAGTCCCACACTTTGCCATCTGCAAATGGGAGACCGAGATGGGGGTGTGATTCCACTTGAGTCTGAGGGTCTGAGAACCTGGGAAGCCAATGCTATCAATCATAGTCTGAGGGCAGGAGAAGATGAGATGAGACGTCCCAAGGCAAGCTGCCAGGGAGGAAGCAAAAGGGACAGGTTCCTCCTCCCTCTCCCTTTTTGTTGTACTCAGACCCTCAGTGGACTGGGTGATGCCCACTTACCAAGAAGGGTAATCTACTTTCCCGAGTTCGCTTATTCGAATTCTAACCACATTGAGAAACACCTTCGTGATCACACTGGGCAACTTGCTGTGGTGGCCCAATCAGGTTGACATGAAATTAGCCATTACATTGATTTCACAACCAGTTCTCCACTCATAAAAGAGAGGCCCGATTCATGCCAAACCAAAAGGTCACAGCCTTTGTAAAGGCCAAAAGCCTTGCTATTTTACCTGGGTACTGGATTTGGTTTGCCCTGGGGCTGGGCTTTTACTTTTTTTAAGAGTGATCTTTTTATTTATAAGAAAAGAGGTTCCTTTAAAGGTCAGAGCCTCTCTCCAGGTCTCCCTATGGGCACTTAAGAGAAGGGAGGTATGGAGGCTGAGATCCTGGGTCCATGATAACCAATGGCTGTTTCTTTTCTCTCCCTGTGCAGCATTTCCCCTAACCTGGAGCTTGAAGCTCTATTCAAACGACATTTTACTCAGGTGGAATTTTATCAGGGTTCAGTCCTCAATCCGCATGATCTTGCAAGAGTCAAGGTAAGGAGGAAGAGGTGACTTCTGCTTTGCTCCATCTTAGAGTGCAGGGGAGTCAGACTTCAGTCAGGGGATGTGCCTCCAGGATGGCCAGTGGTCATCTCCTAAACACTGATTGAGATAAGTTAGACTAGACACTACCAACCTTGAAATCACCCTTCCACTGGCCCCAGGACCTCAGCTGCTGGCACATGGTAGGCCACCTATAGGTGCTCCATGCTTGGACTACTCTTAACATGAAACTTATTTTGCTGGTTCCCTCAATATAAAAGAAAGTAGACCAGTCGTTCAGACTCAAGAGTCTTATAGTCAACAAAATAATTCTTAATTCCTACCTTGATTACTTAAATTGGATTCAAGATAGCTCCAACATCTATTGTTTACATAGAAACATTAGGGTAAGGTATAAAGTAAAATTGTATGAAGTCATAAAACATCTTGAACTTCCTTTCCCCCACCATTGCAAGATACAAAACTAAACTTGCAGGTATCTGACATCACTTGATAATGGGAAAATCATTTTTTCTAGAATCTACTATTAGACTTTTCTCATAAAATATACCCCGGAGGGTAGGACAGGAAGGGGACATACCAAAATGGCATCTGCTACTTTATTCATTTAATATTGATTTTGTAAACATGGTCAATATTTGCATGCCAGTGGGTGTACATTAATAATGGGAATCCACTGAAGTCTAAAGGCTAACTGTGGGCGCCACATACTTGTGTAAATTATATAATTGACAATCATGAATAATCCAAAAGGATTTGTGTAAATTCTTTGCATTATTAAAGAAATGTAGAGAAAATTTGTGACATACCATGGAGGAAACCATGCCCTTCCACCAAATGCAGGAATGGTAGTAAGTACAGCATACCAAGTGTGACAGATTGTAGGCCCGAGCCAGCATGAGAATGAGTATGCTAACCTGGGCCAGTTAATTTTAATATTAACCAGACATGACCCAAGTTAAGGCTCATGTGAAATCTTATGAGAACAGAGAAAATAGTTATTGTTCATGGACCTAATTTAAATGCAAGCAATTATTAGCACATCAAACTCAGGGTTCCCTCTAAGGAACAAACCCCTCTTGGCTTATGTTTACATAAGTCAGTAGGTTGTATTTTGAGTTCATCTGTAATGAATCATTTCATATAATAGGTTTGTTGTCTTTTGACTATCTGAATACTAATGAGTACCAAACGATACGGAGTTGTTGTCTAATTGAGGGCTCTGATTTCTTCTTACACATAGATAATGATGATGTGGGATGGGTTATATGAAGGTCTTTGAAGTCTAAATTTCTGAATCCCAAACTACTCTTGTTAACTTGGTCACCCAGAAGAAGGGGGTTAGCCCACCAACCTTGATTTCCAGGCTGGAAAAATTAGGATGATGGCACACACAATTGAGAAAGGAGATGTAGAGGGGATTGAAAGGCTTACTTAATTGTATTTAAAGAAATCTGGAAGTCCTACGTGAAAGTGGCTATGCCAAATGACATGTGTAATTACCAAGGTACATTCTGTACCCACCAACCTCGACAAGATGAAATGTTTGTAATGTAACGAGAACTTGCAACCTACACTTTTGACAAATGCTATAATCTCTCACAATTTTTATTTTCTGCCCTTGCAAAACACCAGTTTCCCTAAGAACTGTCAACAGAGAGAGAGACTGCAGTTGAGCATGGCTATTTATATGTTTGTGTTCTGTGATTTTTTCCTTTTGGTGTCTCAGATAGAGTCAGCAGATGCGTGTCTCATCCTTGCCAACAAGTACTGTGCTGACCCAGATGCAGAAGATGCCTCCAACATCATGAGGTAACTTGGGATGGGTGGGGGATGCTGGGGAAGGCTTTAGGTTTGGCCCTCTGAGGCCCACGTGCAGCCCTTTTGGGTCTGCAGAGGACAGTATCTGTGAGACCGTCCCCCTTTCCCCAATAAGTCATTCCACAGAAGCCTGATGGGGAGCTGAGGCCATGGTGGGGAGGAAAGTAATGGAGCCCAGGGCACCACCAGGAAGCTCAGCCTTAACAGATGGTATCTCTGGGGCTCTCAGATGGTCTTGGGTTTGAGATTTCTTGAGACAAAACTAAAAAGAAAAGATAAATTTAGAAGAGTGCAGGTCTGGATAAACGTACCATATCTCCAAGGGGAAGTGAACCCCAGATGTCTTTACTGGAGACAGATTTGCCCCCCAGGGGACATTTTGCAATGTCTGGAGATGATTTAAGTTGAGGATGGTCTTTCTGGTATCTGGTGGATAGATGCCAGGAATCCTATTAATCCTCCTACAATGCTCAGGCAACCCCTATACAGAGAATTATCCAGTCCAAAATGTCAGTAGCACTGAGGTTGAGAAGCCCGCAAAGCTGGAGCTTTGCTGGCTCATCTATAGCAAGTTTAGCATCACCCCAACAAGGAGGTTATCAACTAAGAACTTGTTTGAACCAGTTGCCCAAAATTTGTGTTCCTCACTGAGAGCTTTTTCAATGAATTTAGTTTTAGTACTAATAGGAAGCTCTGAGATAATGTTCTACAGAGTATTTCTCCTTTCCTCTCCTCTCCTCTCCTTTTCTTTCTTTCTTTTTTCTTTTCTTTTTTTTAAAAAAATTTAACACAGCATCTTCTTGGGGAGATCTTTTGGGACAACTCCTCCCAGTGCCTTTTCTAAACATGAGATAGGCCCATCTAGAGCTCATTCCTGCTCCAGCTCCACCTTGTTCTTCTCTCTTTGCAGAAGAAAATTTGTCCTGTTTTTCTTCTTTCCATAGACTTGCAGTTATATTCCATGGTTATGAAATGACTAAAAAGCCCAGACATTTTGTTCCAGGTAGTTAAAGCCCTTTTGGAATTTGTCTCCTCTCTAGCATAAATTGTAGATGAGTTAAGTTGGGAGGGAATAATCAAGAGAATCTTCTGGAGAGAGGATGAACTCAGAGAAAACACTTCACCGCCCTGTATCCCCAGGAACCCTGGCTTAATTGTGAACAGCCATCCTCTGATCCAGACAAAGGCTTCCCTCTCCCTGCAGCTTGTGTTACTGACCTGGGAATTTACCTGAAGGTGAAGGTTGGGAAGTTGCCTTTGTGTCATTCCAATGCTCACATCTCCTTTGTCTTTGCTTTTAATCAGTGGCCCCAAGTGACATGAGCATTCCCATCAGTGGTGTGGAGGAATTCCTCTGGTGCATGTGGGATGAGCAGGTCCTGCCCACAGCATCTGTTCCCTGTGTCTGGCAGGCAGCATCTGGCGGGATCTTCTCTTCCCACTCACTTTTCTTTGGCAGTGCACTTGATGCAGTCCGTCTAAGGAAGTTCATGCATGAACTCAGGCCAGGCTGCAGAGAGGGTGGAGTAGGGAGAAGCTTCACACACTTTTTCTGTAATTTTAAGTGACAAAAACATCGCCTTAGAAGAGCTGGGCTTTATCATCTTTCAAATTTACAACAATTAAAAAAAAAAACACTTAAGGTTTTGATCCCTCAGAAAAGTCTGGGGCTGGCCCACATTTTTCCCCCGTAAAGATGAATAATTGACATGAAAAGTAGCTTGAGATGGGCATTTCTCTTCATTGCAAAATTCAGTTTAAACCCTGATGGGGATCAAGTTAAAATAAACATAGGTAGGTTCCAGGGTGATTGGCAGGATGCCGAAGTGGTCATCCTCATGGACAAAGGTAGTATCAGAATTGTGACTAATCCATCCAGGGACCAGTACCAGAACCAAGGCCTGGGTAGCAAAAGGAAATGAGAAGCTCAGGGTTAAAAATGGGCTCCGTTTTTCTCTTATTTGTATAATCCTCCTCCCTCCTTAGTTTAATGAGACCAATCTGCCCCTTTTGAAATTAAAATGTCAAAGAGCCATTTGAAATGAGCTAATGCAGAAAACTGGCTGATGCCATGAACTGCCCCGCGAAGGCTGACAGAGGCTCAAAGTCCTTGAGTTATATGCTGGGGCCCGACACAACACTTTTTCAAAAATAAAATGAAATCCTTCAAGTGCAAAAAGCCCAGGGTGGATTTGTGCAAGGAGAGGCTTTCACATGATCCATTCCCTAAATTCACAAGTTACAGCTTTTCAGATAGAGTGACTCACAGGCTGCCTTCTCTCCATCTTTGCACAAAAAGGGCTGAAGCGGAGGGGAGCGCTGCTTGGTGGGAAGTTTGTGGGGGTGGGCATGATGGGGGCACTTGTATTTCTGATTAGGCTTAGAAGGTAGGCCTTTCTGTGTAATTCCATTCTTTAGCCTTCCTTGTCACATAAGGAAATGTACAATGTCACTCCTGACAGGGTCAGTAATGACAAAAACCATAACTTACACGTGGAGAGAGCTTTTAATGATTTCAAAGCATTTTCACATCTGGTCTCCCATTTGCTACTCATACCAAGCCTGTGAAGTAAATAAAGCAGGTACTGTTGCCTCCAGTATCCAGATGAGGAAACAGGAACAGAGAGCCCAGGGATTTCCTGAAGGTCACCCAGTTCATTAGTACAATAGCTGTGACTGGGGGCCAGGTGTTTCCATTCATCTGCGCCCTGCTCCTCCCTTTTCAGCATTGTGATTGACAGGAACAGGAGTGCCAGTGAGGGTTGGGCAGTGGTTAATGCCCAATATAGACTGAGGGAAATGGGAGGGAATTTTTGGCCAGATTGTGACCTCCACCAGGTGCTGGCACTTATCTCTGACCAGTGTTCAAGTCATCATTGAGACTCTATTAGCTTTGGAAGGCTGAGTCCTTGCTCTTAAGAGACTTGTTTAGAAATCATGTGCATGAGTGTGGCCAAGTATGTGTGACAATTAGAACCATTTGTCAGGCAGCTTGTGCGATTTGTCATTGTTGTCTCAAGTTGTTAACTTGAGCAGATTGTCCCCAGGCTGGTCCCTGGGGTGGGAGATTGCAGAGCTCCAGAGGCACCATGATTTGAACTTGCTTTCGATGTCTATGTCAGCAGTGACCCTGGTCCCAAAGCCCCCGCCATCAGCCCACACAGGCTCGCATGCCATCACTGAGCCATCGAAGGGTTCCCTCGTATTTTTCATGCCCAAGATACATACTGTAGCTGTCTTGCGATTTCCATTTCAAACCACCCAGAGGTAGTGGTGGGAGCATAGTTTAACCTGCCCTAGTACCTGCAGCCTCCTGGATGGCGCAGGCTGCTGGTCCTACCTTGGACCCCACTTGGAGATAATCAAATGCATCTTCCCAGCAGCCTCCATGGGGATGACAGGCCCTGCCTCAGCTTTTGTTCTCTCTTTTTCAGAGTAATCTCCATAAAGAACTACCACCCGAAGATCAGAATCATCACTCAGATGCTGCAGTATCACAACAAGGTATTACATTGAGAGCCGTCCAGGCCTGAAGCCACATATTGGGGTCCAGTTCCAGTCTCTCTGCCTCACCATACAGATACACATGCACACACACACACACACACACACACGTATGTATGTGCATGCATGTATTCATCGTGCCACACAAAAGCCTGTGTAAAAGATGTAATGTGAAGGTTAAAAAAGCAAAGGGATATTTCTTCAGAATAAGCAACGTGTTTGCAGTGGGTCTCTGGAAGGAAGCTCCTTATGTACTCAGGAAGCATCTATTGAACCGCTTGGCCCAGAAATGTGGATGTATTTTTAGATCCCATCCACACCTAATTCCCAACCACTTCATTTCTATGTATGGCAGTCATTTCTTCAGTCAGTATTTATCGATACCTACCTTACAATCAGCACTCTGCTTTATGCCCAGAAGAATATCAGTGAGGGAGAAGCCCTGTTTTGTACCCCAAGATTTAGCACTTAATGTCATAGGCAAGTGTTGGGACTTCATTGAGGCCAGGGGAATTTAAAGAAGCCTAAAGAACTCGGGTGGAGGAAGAAACCCATGACATTCTCAAATCCATAATGTGAATTTGCAGAGTTAGTTCAAAGATTGAACAGAGAGTTGGCTACCCACAGGCTGAACATAAAGGAATGAATGTTCCTGGTAACTTCAAGTAGGGGTGGATTGGAACAGCAAACATCCACTGGGGTCAGTTTGTTTCCCTCTGATTACTTCCCAATTTGCCCGAGCTGAGAGCCTCTCCTCCTTCACCCAGGCTGTCAGTGAACTCCCCGGAAGACAGCTTTGGGGGAGGGAAGGTGACATCTTGCTCTATTTGATATAGCACCACTTATCTCCTTAATGAAGCTTCAAAGCTGGAGGCTGCTCAGTACCTGGGGCCAGGTGTCCTGTCTGAACAGAAATAACTCCCTGCTGAGTTCTGAGGGCAAGAGTGGCCCATCTTATAGGCCATATTCCTACAAAATAGACAGGCATGTGACTCACAGAAAACCCATTCTGCCAAATGCACCAGCACCATGCCATTATTTCTTAATTGCTGGCAAGTGCTGGCCCATTTTGTTGTGTGGAGGCCCATCAGAGGCCATTGTGAAATGGAGCCTGCTGTCGGTGACTGGCCCACTGCTCAGAACTGCTGCCCGATGCCAAGCATTGCCCAGCCCTCAGCAGGTGGCCCTGTTGCAGAAGGTGTCACTCTCCAGCCAGAGGGTTGGGTGCTGGGCACCCAAGGTCACATTCATTCTCCTGTTTGTCTCTGGAAAACTCAAGGGCACTGAAGAGATACAGTCTGAGGATATTGGTAACTCACAGTTGTCAATCTAGAGCAGTTTTTTGGTGTTTTTTTTTTTTGTTGTTGTTGTTGTTTGTTTGTTTTTTGATGGCAGCCCCTGTAGGTGGAGGTGAATTTTTTTAGTGAGGCTGTGATTGGTGACAGCTCTTGCCATAAGGAATGCTCCTTCTTTCATTTGCGATTTGAAATTTCATTTAGTGTGGGAGTGCTTTAAGAAGTTGTTTAGATTTTTGGCTGAATTTAGATTGAATAGGAAAATCAATGTTGTATGTTTCGAAAGAAATGTCAGTTCCCTTTTCTTCTCTTTCCAATGGGTGCTGATGTAGCATCTTGGAGAAATCAAGGAAGATTTCAGTTATATAGTTCTTGTCAAATTGAAAGCAGCTCAACTGGCCTAAGATCCAGGCAATACCTGGTCAGTAATCACATGATCATAGCAACCTGAGCATCTTCAATAAACCTCTCCACTGCAGTTATCCAGGAACAATGATGAATACATCAGCAGACCCACTATTTGCTTAAAAATCATTTTCTTTGGAACCATTTCAGTATATTTGGGTTTCAGGATTAGGCAAAATCAGTTACAGAGTCCTGTAAGATTAGTAAGGACATAAGAGGAGGAGGGACTTTGGCACAGGGTATTTTTCCTCCATTATTTCATTTTTCCTCTTGAAGAAGGACTGAAAAGTCCACTTGTCATTTTCTGCCATCTCATTCCTGTAGGATTCCAAATAGAATATCCTTCACTCTGCTTCACAGTTGGCCTGACATGCTTCTACCTGCCCTTTTACAATGTTTTTCTTCCTCTTCTCTTTCAATATTTTTTTTCCTTTTCTCTTGGTACCTTCTCTGCACCCATCCAAGGCACCCATAGATCTCTACCTATTGAAACTTGCTTTCAGAGAAGATCTGATATACGTATGAAAACTCATGTCACTATCTACATATTCCAAGGGGTAGTTGATTCCATAATTGGACATCAGGCTTGGAATATAAAGAGTGTCAATCCCTTATGAGGTAATGATGGTTATATTCTAGAGCTACAGGGAAGGAGGGAAACGGCCTACTTTGTCTCCATATAAAACTGGCCCTGAGTTTGTCATCATAATAATTGCAGACATTTGTGTCCCATTTAATGATTTTAAAAGAGCTTTGACATCCATTATCTCATTTAGTCCTCATTGTACCATCTGTGCATTGTAGCATCCCAGGGTAACTTCAGACCAGGGGGTCTAAGCTCTGTCATAGGCAAAGCAACTCTGGTGGGCACAAATCATGGTCACTGGGCAGTCAGAGAGCTAGGAGACAGAATAGCCAACTGCCATCTTCTCTTAAATGGAGTCGCAGCCCAGTGAATCAAACTGTGGTTCCTGAGTGTGGGCTTGTAAAACAGCTGGTGCTCTCCCAACTGGGTCTCTTCAGTATATCTAGGTTCCATGGAGAGATACTTTCAATCTGGCCATTTCTGAAAGAGAAGAAAGATATGACATCTTCTGATTTAAGCATCAATGGCTTGAAGCTCTTCAAGGAAAGGATAGTTTATGATGTCTTGGAAAAGTGTCACTCCTAATGTCTTACCTTATTAACATATTTCTTATTTTCCCAGTGAATTATAGAGCCTTTGTCTCTGTCCTGGAAACCAAGTCCCAGTGGCCCAATGCAGATGCAGGCTCTTTAAGCTATCTCCCTATCAACCCTTCTGCTTGGGCAGTAGTTGTATTAGTCATCGTTCTGTCACTAATAAACACTGAATGTGCTAGTCAACATTTTGTCACCATGATCAAAATACCTGACAAGAACAACTTGAAGGAGGAAAGGTTTATTTTGGCTCACGGTTTCAGATGTTCAGTCTGTGGTCAGCCAGTTCCATTGCTCCGGGCCTGAGATGAGGCAGTGTATCATGGCTGAAGGAGGCGAAGGAGAGCTGCTCACATTATGGTATCCAGGAAGCAGAGTGAGGGAGGAGCCAGAGGGAAAGATATAATTTCCAAGGGCATGTCTTCAGTGACCCACCTCCTCCAGCCATGCCCCACATCCATTCAAGTTGGGATGGATGAATTAGGTCACAACACACATAATCTAATCATTCACCTCTAAATATTCCTTCATGAATACAGGAGGTTTTGGAGGACACCTCACATTTAAACCAAAACACCTGACACAATTTACAAAGAGACAAGTTCTACTAGCTCACTGTTTGGGAGGGTTTAGTTTGTGTTCATTTAATCCTGTTCCTTTGAGCCTGTAGGACAGGATAACATGTCACGATGGGAGCATGTTGTGGAGCAGGAAGCAAAATGGGAGGAGACCCTGGGTACCGCATTCCCTTCAACAGCACATCCCCAATGACCTAAGGCCTATCGGTAGGCCCCTGCCTCCCAGAGGTTTTCTCACCTCATGGGATCCAAGCTTCTAACACATGGACCATTGGGAGACACTTGAGATCCAAACGATAGCAGCAAGGTAGTTTCCTCTTCTTTGGCATTCTGTCTTTCCTTGTGGTACTCCCCCATGATTGAATGTATAGTAAGAGATGGAACTGGGACTGGAATTCATCTTTCCTCATTACCCAGGACAGCTGATAGGCCTTAGGTCATTGGGGATGTGCTGTTGAAGGGAATGCGGTACCCCAGGTCTCCTCCCATAAGAATGAAGTGCAATCCAGCAGCAGAAACGGGGGAAGGTTCTGGTTGTGCTGGACCTGCTATTTCTCTTCTCCAGATTAGAGAGGATTCTCCTCAAGACTCCTGTGGATTGATGCTAGCATTTGCACACACCCAGATTCCCTCAAATGAAAGAAGGCAAAGTTTCCAGAAACAAAGAGTTTGCATTCCTGGGTCAAAATCCTCTCTTTGCTTCATGCGCACAGATTTCCCTCCCGGCCATTGGCACATTAGCTTCACTTCCTGTCCCATGACTGGTGAAAATATGAAGACCAAGAAAGGAGGCTATGGAATCCTGAAACAAGCTGGACTTTCCTGTGTAATAACACATAAAATATGTCCAAAGAACTCAAATCAGATGGGGCATGAGGGGCCAAGAGTGAAATGCCCGGGTTCATACCCTGGATGATACATGAGGATATGAGGGACTTTCTGGTTTTGCTTGTTTGTTTGAAGATGGTATGGAGTGGTGTCTCTGTAGGGCTGGGACCACCCAAATATCCTGTCACAAACAAGTTCATTACTTATATATAATTTCTTTTCATTCCTCTCAGATGATGTTACTGAAAATGAGCATTTCTCCACTTAAAATTAACGCATTCTCTACAATGCCAGAGAAGTAAAGGGGAAAAGTTTGCATTGTTTAGTCAAAGAAGACTAGGGAGAGGAATGGAATAAAGGGTAGGGTTCATTGTTGGAATTAAGTGTTTGATGTGGGGAAGGTCCCCTGGTACTCCACTTGACAGACATCACCATCTGCTGTGGCCCACACACACGACTATTTTAACAATGCTCTCATTGGGGGTAATACTGCCATCTCTCCCAGCAGTAACCACTGCTGGCTTAGGACTCAAAAGATTGTCACCAGAGTGGATTTTGCAAGAAGGAATTTCATATGTGTGGTGTTTTTGAAAGCAGAACATGGAGCCCTTAGCCTTGCTCTTTCTTTCTACGATGGAGTCTTGCATCCTTCTATTACAACTGGATGGGAAGCCTCCTTGTGTTTGTTGATGCACAGAGAGAAGTAATTTCAGAGCCTTAGAATCTTGGCATGTGCAGGAACTTAGAAGGACTCTCTGACCCAACCTCTCATGGAAAGTAAGAGTTCTTTCTGTAGAGACTTGAGAAATATTTACTAAGTCTTAGGAAAAAAGACCCTGTGTTTTTCAAGGTAGACTTCTCCATTTATTGGACAAATTACACACTTTAAAAGTTTATTTATGAAACAAGCCAAAAAAACTGTTTCCTTGTAATATATACCAGTCAGTCCTAATTCTAGCTCCTGGAAAAAACCTAATCTCAACGTGATAGCACCTGAGGCATTCAGATGGCACTGCCCTGCCTCCACGAGGGCATGGCCCTTCTTTAGACCTGAGGTTTCTGGCTCTGTTCACTGTTCCTCAAAAGAATTTTCCAGATCACTTATCCCCTCTTGTCTTTGTCATTTTTCTCTGGAAGTCATTCAGCTGATCATTTCTCCCATTTTATATATGACTATTAAAAAACTGGGTCAGGTTCTCTGGAACTAGTCTGACCCATTCACAACAGAATGATATGTTCATTTCCCTTACTCTGGAGACCATTTCTAACAAGCAAACATTGGCTTTTTTCTGTAATGTGTCACATGGCCTCTATTTGAGGTTTTAGTTACCCATACACTTAAATTTTGCATTGTGTGTGTGTGTGTGTGTGTGTGTTTCTCTCAGGTCTGCTGCCAAGTTAGGTCTTCTCATTTTGAATTTATATAATTGATTTTTTTGGAACCTAAATGCCGTATTTGACATTAAGCTTTGTTAAATTTTTTTCGGTTTGGTGTTTTGTTGATTCTTTTTCCAACTCTGGAGGATTTTTTTCTTTCTTTCTTTCTTTCTTTTTTTTCCATTCATTGTATTATCCAAGACTCTCTGCTTCTTACCACTTGAAAAATAATTACATGAATGTGCCACTGGATCTGACCTAATTGTTGAACAGGACCAGTCTGTCTGCAAGAGTTTGTAGGACATCTACACTATGATTTACCTGATGATCCAGGGTAGTGGTTCTCCAAGTGTGGGCCTAGCCTCCCGCAAGTCAGATATGCAAATTCTCAGCTCCACCCCAGATCTACTGAATCAAAAACCCAAGGGGGTGAGCCAAGATTTTTACAGACCCTGCTGTTGATTCTACTGCCCACTCAAGTTCAGTAGTCACTGATGTAGAGTATTGGGAAGATTTGCAAAAACAGAAATCAGTCTTGTGGTCCATTTGAGGAGCCACTTTATGAACAACCTAGCCAGATATCCTAGTGATGAGGGCCTATGTGTCTGTGATAAGAGAAAATTCCCCTGGGCTCTATTTGGATAAATGACAAACCAGAGGGAAGGATTTGGGCCCTTGGATGCAGAAGTAATATTGAAAAGAGACTGAAGTCCAATGAGCAGAAGTTTTGAACAAAACACCAAACATCAGACCAGAGCAAGGGAAAGGAAGAACAAGTCCGGATGACCCTGAGTCCTTGGGCAGTGCTGCATTTCCCAGAAGAGACTGAACAATTGAATATGTAACAAAGTGAGGTCTCATACCTGATTTTGTTTCCACAGGCCCATCTGCTAAACATCCCTAGCTGGAATTGGAAAGAGGGCGATGACGCAATCTGTCTCGCGGAGCTGAAGTTGGGTTTCATAGCCCAGAGCTGCCTGGCTCAAGGCCTCTCCACGATGCTCGCCAATCTCTTCTCCATGAGGTCATTCATAAAGGTAACGTCTTGTCTTATTAGAGCACATTAGCCCAGGATTCCATTTGTCGTGGGGTTGAGTAGAGAGCACAGCTTAAACTCAAAACAGATCGACGGGCTTTAACCACTTTGGTTAAGGAGAAATTCCTTGTTACGGATTTGGGCAAGGGGCCAGCTCTTTTCAAAATTATGTTTTTATTTTTATTTGGCACATCCACGGCCATTAAATGATTGTTCAAAGCACAATCCTCTCTTTTTTTAGATAAACCACATGTTTATCTATCAACAAAGCCTCCGCTGTTAAAACAAAAATATGATTTATATACATTCCATATGGCACCAGAGCGCCTAAAGAAAAGAATTATCATTTTCCTCTTTTATATCAAGTGGCTGGTGGACCTCTCACTGTGCGGATAAATGCGGACCATGTGTTTGTGCTGCAGCCCAAACCCCAACAACATAATTCATTTATTTATTTCTGCACAATCAAGGCGGCCGGCAAGGCTGACATGCCATGGCTATTTGAATGGATAATGAACTGGGTCCTTTACAAGGGATAGGGGCAGTCTGGATGTGTTCATCTCCTTGCCCTTTGGTACCCCATGGAAATGACTAGGCAGCCATTTCGCAGTCTCCAGAGTGGCCACTACCTGCTGGCCACTGCTCAGGAGAGAAGAGAAAGAACCAGTTCTGTTCTCACAGGCCATGTCTGATCAGGGTTGGCTTCCAGGGCATAGAATTTTAGAAGGCTCCTGGAGTGTGGAGAGGAACAGTCATGCCAGTCCTTGTCCTTGGGCTGTTCTTAGCTTAGACAGAGTGGCCAACCACTGTGGTCTGCATTTCTTATTTGGTACTGGTGGCAATTAGCTCCAGACCTGGGTTTACATTCTTCTTCCTGTTGTACCACAAGCAGAATTAACACTGGTCAAGGCGAGAAATGAATGAGATCCTGCCAAGGGAGTCAAAAACTCTGAAGTCAAAGGTTTGATCCTTTTGTTGTTTTGACTGCTCTGTACACTGCCAATGAGGTATTGGAAGACTTGAGGGAAAAAACTGCTACACCAAGATGGTTGGGGACATGAGGAGGCAGGTGTGTTGGTGCTCACCCTGGGCACCTACAAGGTGTGAAACTTAGAGCAGGGTTTTTTCCTGGGTCTTTACCCTTCACACCCACCTAATTGTAAAGGGGATTATTTATATAGATAGTTAGCTTTGCTCTCCTAAAAGAATAATTCATGTTGAAGTCCCTTCGATCACATTAGCTGTATTCATAGTAACTGATACGTTGATTTAAAACCTCTTTCTCCTATGCTTATTCTGTACCCCCCCAAAAAACCTTTTGGTTTTTGATCAACAGAACTCTGAGCTCAGACCCCACTTACAAATGAGGACATCATATTCCTTTAAGTGTCATCTTTAATCCAGGCTGTTGTTGTCCTGCATGGACGAAACCGAATGCAGGCGTACGAACGTCAGCAGCAGGGAGGTCTGTGTGGCTGTGTTTAGAGACAGGTCCCAAAGCCAGATGCAGCTGTGTGTCCCAGGACTCTACCCAATGCAGGGAGCCCAGACCCAGGATAAAGGACTGTCACCAAGAGAATTCTGGCTCTTTCAACCAAGCTCTGGTGGTTTTCTTCCAGCAGGGGATTGCTCATGGGACCAAGCACGTGGTCCAAGGAGCTGGGCTCTGCTTCCTCATGTTGATGTGACATGGGCCTTGGCAGGGCCCCACCACAGATGGGGCCACTTGACATGCGTATGTTTTGATTTTGTGGTGCCTGCATGGTAACTAGAGCTGCCTGTCAAGAAAATTAATAAAGTAGATGTGACGCTGATTCTTCAGTGCTATTACAGCAGGGAGAATTCCTGCCCAACTTTCCTCAGGACCCTCATGGGCCTCACCTCTAAAGCCAAGGACGTCCCCTCCAGCTCTGCTAATCCCATTGCCAAGTTCCTATTTAGGAAGAGCCTGTGGGAAAGGCTGGACCGGGCCCTTGTGTAACTGAAAACACATTTCCCTCCCAGGGTTATGTTACTACATTATTTCTGTCCAGGGCCAACTCCCCCATGTTTGGAAGTAGCTCTCGAATATGGCCTTTTGACATTGTAGTGGTCATTGTGTTGGAATTTGCTAAGGTGCATGACCTGCAGATAACCAGGCTTCCCTTCATTTTTTTTTTCATCCAGAAGAAGGACAACCTCATTCATTACTCCCCATTTTATATTGTCATTGTCCCGATCCTTATCTCTTTTAGGTCATGGCAAACACCATAAATGTTATTCTCTTTGGCAAGTTGTAGGTATCATCTCTTATTCCAGAGATCACAAAGCCCTCACTACTTTTGGTTGGGGATGGGGGCAGGTGGTAAAGGAAATCTATAAATGGATGATTGTTTACAGAAATCACTTCCTTCCCCAATGGCCCTATATCCTATGGTGGAGAATTCAACAGCACTTCCGTAGGGACAGCCAGACCTATTAGTGAGGGCTAGAAGGGAGCAGTTTGGGCAGCACTTGATCCTTTGGGAACACTTAGTATTTCTGGAAGCCAAAGGTAAAGTGTGAGCTCACTTTCTTCCTTGCCCTGGGCAGGTAGTATCTGTTTCTTAACTCTGCAGAATATATTGTACTCTTCTCTTTCTTTCCAAGAAGGAGAAAGTAAGATGGTAACAGCACAGGTATATCACATGGAGAAGCACACAGACTGTCCTGGGCTTTTTAAATATACATACAGCCAAACAGCCAACTTCAAGTGAGGGTGATAGACTTGAACAAAAGAAAGACTCCTGTCATATAGGCCCAGCCTAGAGGTGTCAAGGACAGAGGGAACACTTATCCCCACCCACCAATGTCATACTCAAAGATGCTAACCCAAGGGCCCCAAGTCATTGCTCCCTAACACCTAGCTCTCATTTGGATTCATTATCTTTGAACTGATTTAAGTAGAATTGAGATATACATATATATATATATATATATATATATATATATATATATATATATAAATTTTTTATTAGAATTGATATATATTTTTAAACACTTCTTCAGGAGTAGTGAATTCTTTAAGTTTTCTAACAACGGTGAAAGATTTTATAAATTTGGCTATTCATCCTTAATTTAGGCCATTTAAACCTCAATGCAAGCCCTTTACAGTTTCTGATATGCTGGGATTTACAAATCCATGTTAACCTTGTATCTAATACCTTTAGGAAACAGAAGCCCATGTTGCTACTGAAGCCTTGCAGCTCAGTAGCTGTTGTTAGTGACAGGCTAAGCATTTTGTTCAATAGGTCTTGTTGTCACCCTTGAGTTCCTTTAAGGACAGCAGGCAAATACCCTAGTGCCCGTGACTTATCTACAAATGCATTATCAACCAGGCCTGGGACATCCTGTTTCTTTACCACTATCTGATCTCTGTCCACTGGCTTGTCAGGTTCCAGGGAGAGTCTTCTGTAAAGACCAGGGCAATGGAGTTACTCAGCCTTTCTGTCACCACCTCCTCCCTGAATCCATGGCCACTCTTACCTTCTCCTTGTCTTCCTCACTTGGATGCAATTTAAGATCCACTGATTTTTAGCTTTTGATTTTTAGTCTTATTTTGCAAACTTAACTTTCTCTTTAACAAATATGGGGGTTCAATTTGGGGCTCCTGCCATTTTTATGAATTGTGCTATTATTCTTACTAAGATTAGTTCTTAACTAGGACATGATAAGTTGTGTGTGTGTGTGTGTGTGTGTGTGTGTGTGTAACTCAGTAAGAGCAATTAGTTCTTAAAATTGTTTTTCACTCTGCACTAAAACTTCTAATTTAGCACATTTAAATAATTCTCAGAATTGCCAACTATTTTAACTCTCCTAATCTATCATTTAATACATGTACACACAGGTACACACCCAACCTGGAATATGGTATGTACTCCTTAATTATCTCCTTGTTCAATAAGTCCATTATGAGAATGGAGAAAATATGTGATGTGTTTCTTATCTTTTCAACTTATTCCACAAGATTTCAAATTTGTAGGTGAAATGTTAGATTTTTCTTTCACCTTTCTACTTCTGAATGACGAAGTACTAGGGAAGTCCACCCCATGTTACAGAGATTGTAGATTGGCTGAAGGGGCATGGCTGGATGCATAAACCATTTGTTCATTTTTGCTGTTACTTTATTGAGATAAATTTGGGGCAATATATAGTCTTAGCACTAATCATAACCAAGGGGACCATTTTAGTAACTTCAGTTCGGGCTATATTTACACATATGAGTGTTGTACATATACATGTATAAAAATAATCTAGTTTAGGAGCCAAAAATATAAAACAAAAAATTTTAATAATTGTCAATGTACACTGAATTTTTTTTGAGAGAGAGAGAGAGAGAGAGAGAGAGAGAGAGAATTTTTTTAATATTTATTTTTTAGTTTTCGGTGGACACAACATCTTTATTTTATTTTTATGTGGTGCTGAGGATTGAACCCCTGTGTCCCATGCATGTCAGGCGAGCACACTACCACTTGAGCCACGTCCCCAGCCCCTGAATTTTTAACTTTGTGCAATACCAAATTCTACATATACATTATTTCATTTAATTCTCATAATGACCCTACCCAAATGGGACACTATTATTACCCTCACTTTACAGTGGCACACACTTGTGAATTAAAAGAACTGTGCAATATAGCTTGGAACTGGCAAATTAAGGTGTTCAAACTCAAGCAAACTATTTCAGGTGTGTCCTTGAATATAATACTAAGAGGACATAAATGATAAGAGGAATTTTCAACAAGTGCCATCATCTTAGACCAAAACTTATGAGCTTTCTGGAGTTCACCAACAGAGATTTCGTGGGCAGCACCCTCAGGGGTAGGAGGCATGGATAAGCTTCAGGAAACTTGTTCTGATGAGGATGTGAGGGCACATGTTTGCACAGCCCCATCCTGTGGGTCTTGTTCACCCTTCTTTCCAGCCACCTCTGTAAGGGAAGAGGTCACTGCCTCAAGATAGGTGATGGGTTATCTTAGGCTG